GAGAAACAAGGAAGAAAGGGAATTCGAAAGGAAGACAGATTTAATTACGACCCTGAAATAGGTCATGATTCACAGTCTACGTGATGCAGTTAGTCATAATGAAGATCTAAACAAAGGCAGTTAAATCAAAACATTTAAATTACAGGCACATTAATAACGACCTGCCAAAATCCCTGACAAACAACGCTTTCTAATTTGCCCAGTCCTCAGTCAGAGGCTTTAATCTCCGACCCGGCACTCGGCTGCTCTGTTGAATAAAGCTGATTCGCTCCGCGAAGGCTGGCGTCACACAAATGACAAATGAACATCAATTACCTTGCGAAATTCATGATGTCGATACAGTTGTCGGCGTTTATCTCGTCCTTGAGAAAGTTGCAGCAGAGTTCAGAAAGACCTGGCATACACAAGTATTCAGCCATCATTAGCAGCTGACGCACGTTGTCGGAGTGGATGTTGATCTTCCGAAAATAAATATAATCCAGTATCTGGATCATCATGTTCGAGCTGACTCCGTAGAGGACAAAATCAGTCTTATCAGTTATCGTGAAGAGGTTCCTGAAACGTCACGAAGCAGTCGTCGATTTGGAGAAACGGCGAGCAGAAAATTACAAGTCATGCGCATAAACTTTCAGTTTTTATGACTCACGTAGCGAAATAAAAGTATCTTTCGTCAATGTGGTGGATGAAATTTTGTTATCTGAATACATCAAAAATTCCCAGAATGTGTACTAATGTGACCAGATTAACTGCGAGGGGTTTAACAGAATATAAGTTACAAATCGGATAGCAAGCAGCGAACATTTGTACTATAGAATGGTCACCTCGTTTCTTACATACCCTTGAAATCTCCAAGACATACCTGAGTATACAACAACCATTACAAAATTTTTAAAGCCAATCACCAAAATAACACAAATATTTCAACATACATCGCAGGCTGTACATTCCACTGATTGATCAGTACGAAATATAAAATCTATTTGTTCTGTCAAAACATTTTCCCGACAATAAACAACTTAAATGAAAAGCCGATTTTCTACGCGGCCTTTAAAATGTGATCGCCAACCAGCAAACAATTTCCTATTACAAATTAAGGGCTTCGCATTGCAAGACAAGCAGAAATATTTGATTGTCGGAAAACTGAAAGAGGGCCACAGTTTGTAACATGAAAAACTTCAGTTGGAAAACAGAAGCAATGGTTCGCGGTTACAATTCAATTCTCATTTCAAGAACGCACCGCAACTTTATTTAAACAAAAGCAAATTGACGTATGCACAAATTCTCTCCTAACAATTAAACATTTCTGGCGAAGTTCTTTGTTACAGTTTATTTCATTTCAGGGAGAGAAACACACAGCAGCTTTCAATGTTCCGGACAATTTCGTGACAAAGGTGCATTACCAAATTGCTTCTGGATTTTGTCGGTCGTCTTTATGCACTAAAACCAAGACGTTTCGGAAATGGATTGATTCTAATTCTCCCTCCAGATCGATTGACTGTCACATTGGTACAACCGCACTTAAAAATTAGTACAAAAACCACGTACGACTTCTGGAATGTTGCGTCGTGTTGTCCCATAGAAATTATCGGACGTTTCAGAGGTGTTTACTGCAACAATTGGATATAACATTTCACACACGAATTGAGTTCTATAATGTCTTTATTTCACATGTTAATCAACTACGTCAGTAAATAAACAAACCAGAAATATGCGCTGCACATCGATAGAATCACTCTGTGGACACGAAAGACGCCGTCATCCTCCAACCTCAACACCGCGTCACACAAGAGGTTCTTGTCTCTCAGCTCATTTACAGGGACCGATGTGTCGGTAAACATGCACCTGGCGCCATCTTGAGAAGAGCCGCAACTTTGGTTTGACTCCATCTCCAAAACTTAAATGCTGAAGCTGCTAAAATTCAAGATTGCCTCACATTTAGGTAGTTACCGTAACTGCAAAATGTAATTCAGAGCTTGTTGAATAATACAAAACAGAGAATACAAAATGAAATGATATTACAGTACAACATACCCTTCCACATACGAATTGCCACTCCTTTTAGATTATCTATCAGAATGATTCGTCCCAGGCTGTCCGACACTATGGACAATTTCCTGTTTGGAGATATCACCACCCTATCTCCATGCCTCAATAGATCACACAACCCAAATCTGAAAAAAAAAATCAAGCCTCAAATAAAAAACATCAGAAAATAAAACATAATCTGCACAAAAGCCACAGGTTTTTAGAAGCCAGTCACACAAAGCAGAGAAAGATGCCACAGTTCAAAGGAAAAAAAAAGAGTTCAGCTGTAATACTAAGAGGAGAAAAACTTCATAACAATGATCTTAAAACTTTGCATACCATGTAGTGTATTAGAATATAAAATAAGTAAACAAACAACTATTAACACTATAAAAAAGACACTATTGCCATACGCGTTTCAACCTCAAGAGGTCATCATCAGTGGCATCAAGGAAATTAATTCATTTAATCTAATGGTTTAAACTGGATTTAGAAAATAAATAAGGTGTTTCACAAAAGTATTTCAAGCGTTACTGCACTAGATGTTGTTATTCACAGAAGTAGAACTATGCACTTAGCTATTGATCCGATGGTTCGGTGGCCTAAGCTGGTCTGCTGTGAGCTGTGGTTGCGTCGTCCGTACCTGTGAACTGCAGTGTCGTGGGTGTGAGATTGTCAGTACCAACCAACCAACCAACCAACCGACCAAAATAGCTAACTAAGGGCAGAGTCCTGCGCAAGCACAATGTCATTACTCTACTACTACTACTACTACTACTATGGTGTAACAGCCCAAAATCGAGCCCTAGCCTCCTCTATCTTCTTCCTCCAATTCTCTTACAAAGTTAAATCTTCTTATTTGTAAACTACGTTGACATTACATATAATTATCAAAATAATCTATAAAGTCTTAGATGTTTCTAATCTGGTGAACAGAAGTGTTTTAACCCCCATTCGGGGGGTCGTTTAGTTTCTTAGTCAAGGGTTAAAGGTTAGTTTAGTGTGTTACTTAAGATTTTAAAACGCAATCAACCCCCCGAATGACCTTGATAGACGAAAGGAGCTCCGAAAGTAAAAACGCGAAATTATCGATCAAGAACGACTCTAGAGAAAGCGCTCCGAAAGGAGCGCTCTGCTCTAGTTTAAATAAATTACGACAAAAATATGCCATAGAAATTGCGTGACTTTTGATGCAGGACCAGACAGTTAATAAATAAAATTTGGAAAATGAAGGCTACGCTTTTTCAAAAGCATTAATATTTTGAGTTCTTCTCCCTCTGTAGAACTAAAAGTCCTTAAGGACTTTGCTGCCTAAGTTACACATTTATGTACCCTACAAGCACAAAATGTAATTTAAATTTATCAAATGAAGGCGAGTATTACATTTGGGATCAGCCACAAAAGCTGTTCGTTGTTCTAACGCATGCGTAGATCAGGCCTAGATCACGCTACTCACACACTGCAATGTGCAGGATATTCTATGAAGAGTAATATCTTCCTCAACACTCTGTTCTCAGAGGCCCTCAGTCTATGTTCCTCCCTCAAAGTGAAAGACCACGTTTTGCACCCATAAATACTTTGCACTCAATAATAGCAAACATTCCCCGGATTTAATCTGCT